TCGGGCTCGCGGCCGGGGGCGGAGGCCTGGGCGCCGCCATGGGCAACCTGTTCGGCCGCAAGAAGCAGAGCCGGGTCACGGAGCAGGACAAGGCCGTGCTGGTGAGCTGCGGCCGGGGCCGGGGGGCCGGTCTGCGCCCGGGAAGCTGCGGGGAAACTGAGGCCGGGGACGCACAAGGGCGCTCGGAGCCCCGGGTCTGGGGTCCGGCCTCGCCGCAGGGCGACCTCTCCCCGCCGGGCCCTGGATCCTGGCCTCCGAGCGCGAGGGGCCCCGGGCTGGTCATCCGCTGCCCGCGAGGGTCTCCGGGCCCCTGGGTGGTCGGGTTCGGGTTCGGGCTGCCCGCGATGGGCCCCGGGCTGACCACCGCCCACCCTCGGCTGCAGTGTCGGCTCCCTCTCTCTTCCGATTCCCGGTTTCTGTCGGTAGTGTCCGCGGGTGTCCACCGGCAGGCAGGGCTGTGACCGCGCAGGCGCTTGTCCCAACCTGTGGACAGCATTAAGCTAGTCACCCCGCAGCGGCAGTCGGTGGAGGCGGATTGCCAGGTCTTTCTAACGCGGCCCCCTGGGCGAGTTTGAACTTCAGCCGCTTGCACCTCCGTCCGCAGTTGAACCTATGAGACTCACTTGTAACTGCTGGTGCCCAGAGGTGTCCCCTTGAGTCCAGCACTGAGCACTCTGCCTCTCTCCTGTGGAATCACCGATGGACGATACCGCCGACCACCAGGCTTTCAGAGTTTACAGCCAGAGTTTGCCTCCACCACTACCCTGGACTCCTCCTTACCTAGAGATCCCAACCCCTGGTGCCTGGAGTGACCACAGCCTGGCCATCACATTGTGACTGTCCTCGGGGCAGGAGGGAGCCCAACTGTTTCAGAGTCATGCTTTCGAGTCTGTGCTTGTCACCCTAGTGTCCTCAACTCTGGCAGCCAGCGTGGCCTTGGGAGCCAGGAGGCCACACCACATAGGAGGGACCAGTCCGTGGACAAGGGGTGGTGCTTGTAAATGACGCTCAGACACGACCATGTGTGAGGACAGGCAGGGCTGGGTGCTGGCTCAAACTGATGTGCAGCCAGGGTGTGTCAGCCCAGCAGGCTGCCCGACGGAGCACCTGGCACCGACCGCAGGTGCTGGACGCCACCTTCCCACACACAGCCTGATCCACCTCCAGAGGCAGGTCCTGCTCCCCCTGGGTGCTTGCTTGCTGACTCGCAGACACCAGGATTCTCCAGAACGCCGCCTCCTGGCTGACCCTGAATCCCTGTGCTGCATGGGGCCGTGGGTGTGATGTCGACGCTGGCGCCCTCCCCACATCTGTGAGGCATCAAGCAGCCACAGCATGGGTCGCCTCCCGTTCACCCCGTCCCTGCACGTCCTCCAGAGCCCTTTCCAAAGCAAAGAGGAGGCCAGGAGCTTGTCCCCTCCAGCAAGTGACCACCCCAGGCAGGTGACGCCGTGTGGTCAGCTGTTCCTGACAACACCAGGCCCTGGACAGTGTGCTGAGATGCTGTAAGAAAGTCAGCATGTTGGGAAAGAGGCAGGAAGGGGAGGGTGTGTCTTTCACAGTGGAGACCGAGTCAGGTGGGGTCTGCTCAGGACAAGCGGGGTCCCCTCCTTGTGGCCTCAGGGCCAGGGATCTGCCCGGACGCTGTGTCCTTTCTGTATTGAGAACTGAAGGCAAGATGCGAAACAGAGCTGCTTAATGCAGGCCCCAGGTCGAGAAGAAGAGGCGGACATATGGCCGTTACAGAGCGTCCTGTTCTAGACAGTGTCCTTCAGCAGCAGGATGACCAGCTTGGCCTTGCCCCACAGACTGCAGCTTACGTTTCCCCCTCTGAGGACTGGCCTCCAGCTTCCTTCCTCGGCCTCTGCAACGGCTAGAAATTCACTCAGGTTTCCAGGAACTTCTCGTGCGGCCTCCTCCTCCTTGGAACCTGGCATCCGACAGCACACCGGCCCGGGACAGAGGAAATGGCTTCTTGTCTGTCCAGGGCATGAGTTGGGAAGCCAGTGGTGTTGAGGGGCCCTCTGTGCCCTCCTTTCTTGATGGGGCAGCCTGACCGCTGCCCTTCCTAAGTCTGGCACTTATGTGGCCAGTACACAGGACAGGGAGGTGGACAGAGTGGGTGCTGGTGCCACACTTCTGTCTGAGGAGAGGAAGTTGGAGAAAGACTGGAGGGCCCCCCGGGTCCCAGTCCTGATGTGATGTGGGGGGCTAGCATGCGCCCCAGGTCCTGAAGTACCAGGATGGGAGTGATTCCAGTCCCACGGAGTCCTGTCCTGTTGAGGGGGGGGAGAGCATGTGTAGGTTTTCTGTCCCTCATATTTGGAACCTTGGGGCTGCCGTGCCTGGACCTCCCCGGACGCACAGCCCCAGCAGGTGGCCCTCTGCCCCAGCACCAGGATGTGGGGAGCCAGGTGACTCAGTTGGGGTGGTGGAGCAGCCTTCCTGATCTCCAGCCACCAGTTTCCAGGAGGACCCCCTCCAGTGTAACACCCCACGCTACCCCACGAACAAGCCACAAATAGCTGTACCTCCTCTGAGGCAGGAACCAAGTATCTGCAGCTGTGGTTACAGAGAATTTGACCAACGAGGCCTTAGAGGAATGTGCTCAGAAGGGGAGTGTGCAGAACAGAATTCCAGCAGCTCATAGACAGATTTCAGAGTCTGGAACCACTGAGGTCAGAAAAGCTACTGTCCTGAGATCGCCGTAAACCAAGAGCACCTCCTGACGTCTCCTAAACCCAGACGGTAGTTTAGCTGAACCCGTGGCGAGGACGCCGGGAGCGTCATGCTCTTTTAATGTCCCTGCTGAGATCAGGGATAGTGCAGCACCGAGCAGGCCCTGCCTTCATGCTTCTCAGGAGGGGGCGGGTGGCCCCACCTCCGAGGGCTTCATCTTCCGCTTGGTTGTACGTGGACAGACGGCCGAGTAGGGTACGTTTGGCCGTGTTTAGCTGAACATCGAGAAGGTAAACCACTTTTTACAGACCTGACTGCAGCCGAGTCATGGCTGGTGCTCTGCCGGGTCAGCCTCACTGCGTGGTCCTGGTGTCAGGGTGCGGGCTGGGGTCCATAGCAGAGCCAGTCTGCGTTTCAGCGCCCACAGCTGACCCGTGTCCCCACGGGCTGCTGAGTGGACCGTGTCTCTCCCCATCCCCGCAGCAACTGAAGCAGCAACGGGACAAGCTGAGGCAGTACCAGAAGAGGGTCACCCAGCAGCTGGAGCGGGAGCGCGCCGTGGCCAGGCAGCTCCTGCGTGACGGCAAAAAGGAGTGAGCGGAGGGGACAGGACACCGGACACAGGACTAGAGAGGAGGACAGGATGCGACACCGGGCACAGGACGAGAGGGGGACGGGACGGGACACCGGACACAGGACGAGAGGGGGACGGGACGGGACACCGGACACAGGACAAGAGGGGGACGGGACGGGACACTGGGCACTGGATGAGAGGGGGGACAGGGGACGGGACACCGGACATAGCACTAGAGAGGAGGACAGGATGCGACACCGGGCACAGGACGAGAGAAGGGGACAGGACAACACGAGACGGGGACAGAATGGGAGATGACAGGAGCCAGAATCAGGGATGGGCCAGGAGACAGGCCAGGGCAGGAGATGGAAGCTGGGGCACCCGGGATGGGACTGCGATGTGGCACAGGAGGCTGGGCCGTATCTCCTTCACAGGGGCTCCTGGTGAGGGTGGGAATATCTGGGCTGGAGGCCAACCTCTGGTCTCCCCTGCAGCGGCGAGTGGGGCAGGAGGCCAAGCCTGTGCTGGCTGCAGGGGGGCTGTTGAGGCTTTGGGAGCAGGCAGGGAGCTGACCGTGTCCTCCGCAGGCGGGCGAGGCTGCTGCTGAAGAAGAAGCGATACCGGGAGCAGCTGCTGGACAAGACGGAGCAGCAGATCACCAGTCTGGAGACCATGGTAGGCCAAGGCCGCGGGCTGCTTTCTGTCTAGGCTCGGGGTCTATGGAGGTGGCGGCCAGGTCTGCAGAGGATGGGGGTCTGCAGTGAGGCTGATGGTCAGCAGGCCTGCGGACTTGGGGCACCGCACTCTGAGGGTGGACAGGACCCAGGTGGCCTCCGGCACAAGGCCTTGAGGGTGTCACCTGTAAGGGCATCTGCTCAGGGCTCTGCCCCATTGGAGCAACAGACGAGCCCTAAGCCTGCGCTGTGGTCACGCCCGGTGCCCGTCCTGCCAGTGCCCAGGGGCAGTGAGGATGGCGGGCGGGGGGGCTGCCCCAGAGGCCGCAGCGTCGCCCGTACTGGAACAGGGCGGGGCTGGCCCCTCAGGCCCCGTCTTCACTCTGTGCAGGTTCAGAGCATCGAGTTCACGCAGATCGAGATGAAGGTGATGGAGGGGCTGCAGTTTGGAAATGAGTGTCTGCACAAGATGCACCAGGTGGGCAGGGGGTGGGCGGGGGACAAAGGGGGGACAGGGCGGGGATCGGGACACGGGGGGAACAAAGGGAGATTAAGGGGGGACAGGACGAGGATGGGGACTGGGGGATGGTGACATGGGGAGACAAGGGGAGACAAAGTGAAATAAAGGGGACAGGGCAGGGACGGCGACATGCAGGGACGGGACAGGGTTGGGGACAGGGTGAGGATGGGGACACGGGGGGACAAAGGGAGATTAAGGGGGGACAGGGCGAGGATGGGGACGGGGGGTTAGGGATATGGGGAGACAAGGGGGGACAAAGTGAGATAAAGGGGGCACAGGGCAGGGATGGGGACAGGGTGGGGATGGGGTCATGGGGGGCAAAGGGAGATTAAGGGGGGACTGGACGAGGATGGAGACATGGGAGGACAAAGGGAGGTTAAGGGGGGACAGGGCAGTGGCAAAGGAGGACAGGGTGGAGACAGGGTGTCTAAAGGAGGTGCATGAGGTCTCCAGAAAGGATGAGGATAGGGTGGGGGACAAGGACATGGGGGGACAAAGGGAGGTTAAGGGGGGACAGGGCAGAAGAAAGGGAGGGCACGGTGGGGACAGATATGAGGGGACAAAGGGAGATAAAGGGACACGGTGGGGACAGGGAAACAGGGCAGGGGCAGAGGGCGACAGGATGGGCACACAGGGTGTCAGCAGGCTGGTGGAGATGAGGGTGACATGGGGCAGGAATGACAGGGAGTTGGGGGGCAGGGACATGGATCTGTCAGGTGGCCACAGGAAGACGTGGAGCTGTCAGCAGATCATGGAAGAACGGGGACACTGAGGTATTAACAGGTCAAGTAGGGGTTTAACGGGTGGAGTGGGGATACAGCAAGAGCACAGGGTTGTCTGTCCACAGCACAAGGCTGGGCAGCGGACAGTCGGCAGCCACCTCCCGGGAGAGGCTGCCAGTCCAGGTGGGCCTGTGGGCCGGGTGGCCCTCTGGGAACAGGACCGTCCTGTGATGGGGCCTGTGTCTGACGGAGGGGCATGAGGTCTCCGGGATAGCTCCAGCCAGAGGGCGTAGTCCAGGCTTCTGGCAAGAGTGAGGGCTGTGTTCCTTGGACGGAAGTGCCCTTTGAGCAGCTAGGGGCAGGGCCACACCTGAGGGACAGCACATGGGTGGGCGTGGTCGGGCTGGGGCAGGACAGGTGGAGGCCTGACCACACCCGTCCGTCATCCACACCTTCCCAGGTGATGTCCATAGAGGAGGTGGAGCGGATCCTGGACGAGACCCACGAGGCTGTGGAGTACCAGCGGGTGAGCGCTTCGGGATGGGAGGGGACAGGCCACCTGTTTTGGAGGGTGGTCAAGCCAGCCCGCCTGCTGCCCTTGGAAGCCGGGCCTTGGGGTCCACTCCTCACCACGGCTCCTTCCTCCACAGCAAATAGATGAGTTGTTGGCGGGCAGCTTCACTCAGGACGACGAGGACGCCATCCTGCGGGAGCTGGAAGCCATCACACAGGTACGGCCGCCACGGGCCACAGCCACCGGCCACGGGGACCAGGCTGCCAGGTGCCCCTGCAGCACCGACGTGGATGCTTGACCCAGGGGCTCGCTGGCACAGGCAGGGTCACGTGGCTGAGGCCTGCTGCCCTGTCCTGTCGTCATGCACACGCCCAGGTGTGCGGCCTGTGTGCAGTGTCCTGTCCCTGTCCCGTCCTCATGCTCAGACACACCCAGGTGTGCAAACAGTGCCCTGTCCGTCCTCATGCACACACCCAGGTGTGCGGTCAGTGCACACGGTGTCCTGTCCCCATCTTGTCCACGTTCCCAGGTCTCCATGTGCATGTGTGTTCTGTCCCCACACAAACCCAGGTCTGTGGTCAGTGGTCAGCACGCACACAGGTGTCTTGTCTCCGTACACATCCCCTCTGTCATCCACACACACGTGTTCTGCCCTGTCCTTGGTCCTCGCTGTCCTCGTGTTTCTAGAACTGTCGTTTTTGTTTTGTTTTGTTTTTTTAATTTTATTTATGTTTCTCTTGTGTAATGTTGAATCAGGTCTGCCTAGCACAGGAGGAGATTGTCCCTTCTTCTCCAGCGGGGCCATCTTGTGGATTCAAACTGTGTGCCTTAGGGATTACAATGCAGCTTCTTGCCACTAGGCCACCAGAGCTCCCTTGGGATCCTCTTTGAAGGCCACAAGTTTTAGGGTCCACTGTCTCATTTGGCCTGATTGTGTCCTTTGCTGCCCCAGGCAAGCTGCCCTCCCCTCTGAGGGCTGCCCTCTCGTGCCCACGTCCTCATAAGCTGTGTGCAGGGGTCCAGCTGGGAGGTGCGGCCCTGTGTCGGCCCTCTCTCCTCCCACACAGACCCCACCACAGAGAGGCTGCCTGGCTGGGGGTCCGGCGGGGCTGTTGGCCAGCCCCCAAGCCTGCATGGCATCTGTGTCTCCTGGGTCTTTGACCAGCCCCGTCCCTCCAAGCTGAGGCCGGGCTGCGTGGCCCCTGGCCACAGTGTCCCTTCACAGCCTCTGTCTCTTTTCTCAGGAACAGATCGAGCTGCCAGATGTCCCCGCAGAGCCCCTTCCGGAACAGAAGCCAGGTACTGTCCTGATCTATCCCCCAGCCTGGGACTCCCAGGAGAGCCTGAGGGCGGGCCCTGCCCAGCCCTTCCTCGCCAGTCTGGCATCATGAGACTGGCACAGGGCACACACGTCATCTCTGAGGCTGGGCCTCAGTCCCCAGGGCCTGTCTAAGAGATGGACCCCAGGGGCAGACTGCAGTGGTGACCCCCAGCGATAGCACACAGCACTCTCCACGTTCCTTGAAAGTGTCCCTCTGAGAGCCTCGTGTTTCCGTGTGTCCTTTCCCGACCCCTCTGGGGCCATCCTCTTCATCTTTAGATCCAGGGCGGGGCTGCCGCTCCTGGGCGCTTGTCCACGGTCCACGCCACGTGTCCCCTCGCCCACTTGCCAACCACTTCCTGTGCGGTACTCAGCTGGCACCTCGTGCGGGGTTTGGGTCTTGTCTCCCCTCTCGTCCCCCCTCCTCTGCAGTAAAAGGGGTGGGGTCTCCACAGACCAGGGTTTCCGTGGCCGGGATCTCCACGCACCGGAGCCGCGGAGCTTGGCCAACATTTTCCCTTCTCCACAGAAAAAGCCGCCGTCAAGGCCAAGCCCAGGCCGGCGGAGCTGGTGGCAGCATCGTAACCGCCCCCGGCCTGCGGGACGTCCCGACGGATGGTGGCCACGGAGAGCAGGGCGTGTGGCCAGTCCCAGCCGGACTCCGGGAGGGTCCTTCTCAGCACCTGCTCAGGATTGTCACCCAGTGTCCGTCACGGCGTGAACCCCAGGGCCTAGTGTGGTGACTGCTCCTCTCCGGCCACACACAACTGTGATGGTGGTGGCAAGGCCAGGCGGCCGCCCCGGAGCTGCCCAGCGGCCCCTGCAGCGTGGGGCTGAGGACGTCTTCTGGATAGCCTGCTCCCCTTGACCCCTCCCTGGCCCCTTGCCTGAGGGCTTCACTGGGGTCCTGGCTGTGAGCAGCCCCTGAACCTGCCTCCAGACGCCACAGACAGACGGAGACAGGACAGCGCACTTTGCAGCCTCTCGGGCCTGTGTGTCAGGACTCTCACTCCTCCCATCAGCAGGGGCTCCGGTGCCGAGAACAGACGTCAGGGAGGCCCAGGGAGCCCCGGCTGACTTCCCCCAACCCATCATCCCAAGATCAGGACAGCAGAGCCGGAGGCCATGATGTGACTTGTCTACCATGAGACAATCTGCCAAGCCCCCCGTGTGTGGGCCGAGGCCTCGGGCACCAGCCCGGAGCACCCACAGCGGCATTAAAGCTGACCCTCACACCTGCGGCCTCCGTGGTCTCTAGTGGGCTGGCGGCGAGGGTGCCTGTGCAGGGGGCCTGGCTCTGCTCCCGGGTATTCAGCTGGTGGTCAGCACATGCCCACGTCCTCTGACCGATTCGGGGTGTGCACCCCTAGGAGATGTCTGTCAAGAGAACCAGCTGTGGGGGCGGAGGGGGATAGACGGGGAGCCCACCGCCAGCTTCATAGGCTTCTTGTGGTCACTCTGGGCAGCCCCACTCTGAGCAGCAGGGGACAGGGAAGGCTCTGGCCTGTGTCCTGAGGGGATTGTCCTGGAGACGGTGTGGTCTCTGAGGGTTTGCGGTTGGCCCAGGTGGGAGAGGCGATGTCCAGGACAAGCGGGCAGGAGGGCCAGTTCCTCGGGACGGGGGTGGTTACAGGGCTGGGTCTCAAGCTGGGTGACATCCGTCCAAGCAGAGCCGTCGCCTGGGATGCCCATCCACCACCAGGAGCGCCCCCAGCCGGCGACAGGAACCTGAGCTGAGGGGCTTGGACCCCCCTGTGACACCCCCCGTCTCAACAAGACCCCGCGGGGTGGGAGCCACTGTTGCTACCTCCTGGGCCACTCCTGGGCAGGTCGAGGTGGCCACCCAGGAGGGGTCAGGATGTCACTGCCAGCCCTGCCCCCTTCGTAGTGGCCCACACCTGCAGTCTGGGCACACGGAAGACACGGGCCACAGGCCAGGTATGCAGAAGCCCTTTTCCTGGGCAGGAAGTAGCAGGTGGCACAAGTTCCCACCCTCAGCCACCAGACCGGCCACGTGGGCATCAAGGAAAAGCAGCCGGAAGGTGTGGGGGTGTGCTCGGAGCCGCAAAACCTGCCCCTTCCACGGCGGGGCCCCCCCACACACTGAGGAAATGGCCTCGTGGTTTCAGGACCCTTCTGATGAAAGCCACCGCAGACCAGTGCTCAGGGTCCTGGGGGTCGCCGGTTCTCGACAGCGCCCAGCTGGCCGTGAACCCTCCCACGGGGAGCAGCACGAGGGAGATGGTTCTGGTGTGACGTCTCATGAGTTATTCTGTTGTTGAAATTCTACAACCAACAAAAAACCTCGCTGCCGCTGAATCACAGTCAACCCTCCAGGGGCCTCAGGCCGGAAGTCACACGGATGGAGAAGGCCGGTCTCAGAGCCAGAGCCACGGGGGGTCCCAACCACCAGGAACGGCCACCTCTGAGTCAGCAGAAAGGCCGCCAAGCGTTCTCAGACGTGACACGGGGCACCCTCGAACTCCTGAACCTGACACCCGGTGCCCCTGAACACAGCAGAGCCAACAGTGAACGGTTTGTACGACCTGGCAACGTGGACTTGACACAGCTCAGTGCTCAGCCCTGTGGTTGGCCTGTTGGCATGGTGTCCTCCACTCCACATGTCCTTTGTGACCAAGGGCCCACACTGTCCCCAGCACCCAGCTCATGGGCGCCCTGCCATGTCAGCCTTTCTTCCCGAGTGCAGTGCTCAGCCTAGCTCCTTGTGGTCAGTCTGCAGCCCCAAGTGGGCAAGCTTTGGGCAGTTCTGTTTAGTCCTGGAATCATCCAGTCCCCATGGCCCCAAAGAGCTGGGACTGATCAAGTCGTTAGACTCCTGCTCTCCATTTCCTGAATCTGGTCACAAGGTTCCCTCGTGGGACCAGGCCAGCAGTCTCGTGGAGGAGGGTAGATGTCCACTGGGCGGCCAGCTCTCCTGATGGCTCCAGGCTTTGGCTGCCCCTGACCCCACATAGGGAACTGAGGGGTGACAGTTCTGTGTGCAGGCACCCCAGCCCCAGAGGCCCTGCTGCAGGACTGTGCCCCCACCCCCAAGCTGTGTTTTCTAGAATGTTGTACAAATGACGGCAGACACGATCACCTCCGGGGCTCCATCCACAGTGCCTCCCGGGGCAGCTCTTCCCTGTGGGGTCACCTCCCAGAGTGGGGCTAGTTGGTGACTGGCTGAAGGCCTGGGCACTGTCAAGCTTTGGGATGTCAGGGTACCCTTGCACAGGGGCTGGCCTAGGAGGGGGTGCTGGGGCTCCCAGGTCCCTGAAGCTGCATAGTGTTGGGGCTGGAGCCCCACACCCAGCACTCAAAGTGCTTCCTGTCAGACACTGCCTGGGTCATGACTCGGGGAGCCAACCACATACACACCTGAGGCGTCAAACCTGGATGGGGGCATGGCACCCCACCTGCCCAGGGCTGGATGGGGCAACATCAGGTGCAAGGGGTGTTGTCATGGATGGCAACAGAGGCTGGTGCGGGAGGAATTGGCTGGTCTTGGTTCCTCATCCCCAGGAAAGGCTCAGTGAGTGGTCATCTCTGTGCCCCAAACTCGGGGCCAAGGAGTGGGGCGAAAAGGACACTAGCCAGTCTTCTGTAACACAAGCAACATGTGGGCACATGCCTTCTGGTGCCAGCAGGCCAGCAGTGAAGTCTTGGGGTTCCTGCGGGAGCTTGACCCTCAGCTGGGCCTTGGGCTACACAAGGGCCTCCTAGTGGTCAGCACACACAGGTGCGTGGACACCTGGACCCTTCGGACCTGTCACCAGTGACACCTGGGAGCACCCACACTCTTCTTCCTCCCTCAAATTACCCCCAGCCTTCCTGACCACCTGGAGAGGTCAGGTGTCCTGCTGTCCAACCAGCATGGGACGTGGTGGCCTTATGTTCTTCCAGCCCTCACAGGGCCTCGCCCCATTGTGGGAGGGGTTTGAGAAATGTGAGGAGGTGGGTGATGTTCCTCCCCACCTGTACCTACGGCCAAGGAACCTCTGCGCCCTGGTGGCCACTGATGGAGAGCTTGGCGCTCTGACCCACCAGCTGCTCTGGGAGAGAAACAGGCAGCCAGCTCCTAACAGAGCCCAGGCCGGGCGCCCTCAGACCCTGCGGGGTGCCTGTGAGCCGGGCTTCATCAAGGGTGCCCTGCAGCTCACCAGCTGCAGCTCACCAGCTGTTTAGAGCCAAGCCCTAAACATAAATGCATGAGGATGGCACAGGGCGGAGTACCAGGGGGGCCGTGGCTGTGGACTGGAGCTGCGTGGACACTCCTCGGGGGGCGGCCTGGACGTCCCATAGAGCGCCCAGGAACAGATTTCTGGGGCCAGTCTGCACACTACGACTCCCTCTGCAGCTGTGCTACGTTGAAAGTCAGTGGTCCACCACAGCAAAGAGACCCAAGAAGTTGGAATGGCTGTTTCCATGGACACAATCTCCATAGTGACAATGTGGGGGA